TTTTAGTTCAGTGGAATTGAAGCATTGATTACGGGATTTTGTGATGAATATCCGGAAGTACTAGCACGAAGACGTGAAATATTCGTAGGTGTCATAATCGTTGCCTATTATTTTGGTAGTCTTCCAACCGTTACTTATGTAAGCATTAATCTAAGCCTAATCTTTTACTGCTATTCATTTAATATTTCATATAAAAGTTGTAAACAGTGAGCAATAACATTTAAATGTAGCAATTACTGATTAATTTTCGTTACTGTTATTGCTAATTTTACAAAAAATAATTCATATTTCATGTATATGTATATATTCAGATTTTTTTTAATAGGCTGTTTAAATTAATTATAAACTTTTATTGTGTTAGCAAAAGTTGCTTTTTTTAGGGTGGCAAATATGTTATACCATTTCTTGATGAATACGGTGTATCATTATCAATATTATTTATTGTAATGTGCGAAATGGTTGGTGTTTGTTGGTTTTATGGAATACGACAATTCAGTGAAGATATTCAACAAATGCTTGGCTTTTATCCAGGATTGTATTGGAGATTGTGTTGGACATTTTCTCCAGTAATTATGACTGTAAGTTTTATTTCAGATAAATGAAAAATTTTAAATGATCAAGGAAAATTTTGATCAATTAAGCATAAGCATATTTATTTGCTTTGATTTTAGTAAATGTTATTGATTTTTTATATAAAAATTGAAACTATGCAATAATTAACAATTTTAAAAATGATTTGATCCTTTTTTTTTTTTTTTAGATGTTATTCCTCATAGCCATCTATAAAACATCATTTGAACCAATGGTCATCGGATCATACATATATCCACAATGGAGTGTCTACATTGGATGGTTCTTACGGCTAACATCAGTTCTTAGCATTCCAATTTATGCGATCTATTATTTCTGCACTGCTAAAGGAACATTAAAAGAAGTAAAAAATTTGAGAAATTTTGCACATTCAAGTAATTGATATCAAATGGATATGTTTATATGATGGAATGCTTAGAATAATAGCATTAGAAAAAGGAATATTTGTCTAAATATAGTATAATATATTCGTAAAAAGTTGAAATAATATAAAATTATTTTTCATTAATTAATTAAGTTTGCCTGTCCGGAAAAGGCAAGGTAGGTATTACTCCCTTCTCTCTCTCTCTCTCTCTCTCTCTCTCTCTCTCTNNNTCTCTCTCTCTCTCTCTCTCTCTCTCTCTCTCTCTGTCAATGCACTCCTTTTTTTTGTTACTGTCCCTAAGACACAATATAATGAATAAGAATGGAATCGTTCTGATAAAATGATATATATATATATTTTGATCGTAGAGTGAAATTGAAATTCTAAACTTATAGGCCTACGTAATACTGAGAGGCACTTATGTTTTAGTCAACGATATTAAGTTTGATATTAAATTTCAAGAATTAACAATTCTACACAAATTCTAAATTATTTTTTTAATTAAAGGAGTTTAGATAAAATTTAGCATTTAAACGTTATAAAATTATAATTGATTGCACAGAGAATAATTTAGCGTTGGCAATTTTCGATAAAACCTCAGCAAACTGATGATCATTCTCGAATACCACTGATAGCACCACCAATATTGCTATCTGACACACCGGCAATCGTCAAAGATAGCAATGCGATCGAGAATGATGAAGCTAACGTGGCTACTAATAACGCAATCCATTTGTAGATAATTATTGCAAATTTTTGTTATGCTTACAGTTTTTTTAGCCATTTCATTTCTTTTGCATTTTTTTCTCTGATATTTTTATTGATCTCATTGCACCGTTTTGAAAGTATAAACAAATCGTATGAAATTTGGAAAAAAATTAAAAATTTGATAAAAACTTGATTCTTTTTTGAAAAAAATAATCATTTTGACAATATATTTTATCAGTAATGCTAAGTTAAAAAGAAAGTTGCATTATTATAAATAGTCAGAAATTATTTTTTAGTTTTTTTTTTTAATAAAGCAAAAAAAAACTCTTTTTCAACTATGACTAATAAAAATACGGATCACAAACTTCATTTTTTATTATTTAGCATTTTTTTCTTCAGATAACTTAATAACCTGTAGAATTGAAAAGGAAAAGAAACCTAATTTCAAATTTGTAAATTCGAATTCTTTACTTCTTTTTTTTTGAAAGAGAGGATTATTTGCTCAAATTTTATAGCACTTTGTTAAAAAGCAAAATTTAATCGCAGGTAAATTATCTTAAATGAAGCCACATTCTGGTACGAATCGAAGAAAGGTCGCAAAATTTGAACTTTTCTGCTTCTATAATCTGGGTTAGCTTAAATTAGAATTCAAAAGAAATTTTAAAATTACATTCAAAAAAAATTTTAAAGAAATTTTAAAAGTTTTCATTATTAATTTTTTTCCCAAAATTTCTTAAAAATCATTATTATCAACATTGCAAATCAAATCCAATATTAGAATTTTTAGACAAATGTACCTTTCAATGAATATCGTTTGAAAATTGAAATGCAAAAACTGCCAATGAATACAAATTAAATTTAATTAAGGATATTGAATTGCTTTTGTACATCTGTTTAAAAGAAAAGTGAGCTTGAAACTTTAATTTAATTAATATTTTGTAATTTACCTTCTACTGGATAACTTTTCTATCAATTATTCTTAAT